TTGCTAAAATTTTAAATCAATCGAATTCTCAAAGTTTTCCAGCAAAGAAAACAAACAGATTGCACCATGTCCACACATCATGTGTGTGGACCAAAAAAATTAACTTTTTAACTTGAAGGATTCAGCGAGGGTCCTTGACCAGTATGGCTTTTTACAAGACAGGAAAGAGAGATTGAAAACTGACTGCTGACATAGAGATAATGTGGAAGTTGGACGATTACAAGTATACTTGTTATCAACATGAGATGTCATCTTGGACATTTAAATGTAGATGAGCAGCTGTCCGTGTTGTCTGCACAGGAAATTAATATAAACAATCTCTCTTGGAGATTAGTAAAGTGATCTACTTTCTGTACCCACTTATTGGGGTGAAGTGAGAGGGGTGAAGGTAGAGCCTATTCAAGCTGTCATTGGTCAAGAGGCAGGTTACACCCCGAATAGTACACCTGACCATCACAGGGCTGTAGAGAGGAATAAGGCAGACAACCATGCACAGTCACTCATCTCATGCAGGTTTTTGGGTGGTGGGAGGCAGCTGTAGAGAGCCCATGCATACGGGTGGAGAGCATGCAATCTACTCACAGACAAAAGTGCCCAGTCTATACATATAATAATTTATCATGTCAAGGTTGTTAATTGATCTTTGGGCCTGTGATTCTTACTAAAACCCTTCAAGTAGTTTTTGACCCAGTTTTGTGATTTGTTTGTTTTTTTTGCGCTGAAAGAATCGTATTCTTTTCCAGCTGTCATGTTTATTGATTTTTTTATGACTGAGTAAAGCTGAGTGATTTTTTATTTCACTTAGTAGTGTGTGAGTGGGGGTGTATGCATATAAATAGTCTTAGTGGTTTTATAGATTTCAGTACATCAGTTCCCAAGGGGTGCAACAGGTCTTGGGGCGGGCTTTCAGCGCAATATGATGAATCAATACATCACATTTCCCTACACTGTGTGAGAAGAGGCCAGCAACAAAAGGCTGTTTGCAGCAATGTGTTAAGACTGGTAGAGTGAGGCAAGAACTTTGGAGCTGATATTTGGGGATTCATACACACAAGCAGTATCTACTTTCAAAAATACTTAAGTACAAAGTCCAAGTACTTGAAAATCTTCAATATAATAGTTTAACAGTTACATTTAGTGTATCAAGAATGATGGGGAGTTTTTTCTGAGACATTGGACAGGATAGTAACTACAAATGTATGATAATGATAAAGCATTAGCCTCATAAAACACTTTTCCTAATGCTCAAAGAGGCTTTACAACTTAAGGCATAATTCATTCACTCCTCAGTCACATTTACTGTGGAAGCGTCATTCTCTACCTGAAACAGGTCTACCACGGTCAAACTATCACAGTCATACATGAGTAGGTTGGATTACGCGTCCAGGGACATAACAACATTATGCACTGGCGTGGGAATTTAACCCTTTGAATTCAGGCAACGCACGAGAGTTGGCTCAGTTAAGATAAATTAAATAGATTCAAATAAATCTTTACAGAAGAAATCAAAGGAAAGCTGGAACTTTCACATACAATTAACACTAGAAAAAATGGATACTATGCCATGAGAGTATTGCTCTACTATCTTTACTGTCATGTCAGGTCATAGAAAAACCTAAATGAGTCATAAAACTTTCTAGCTACAGTCATTTCAGTACTTCATAATATGTTTTGTAGGGTCCTTTGCCCAACTATTTGCTTTCTGTCACCAGAGCATGCATTGTTCTGCCGCAAATCTTAGGTACTGGTGATACAACAAGATACTTATACTTGTTTAGACCAACAATAAAATACTATTTCTGCATTTATCTCACAACAATATAATTATTTCAAATCTCATGAGTTTGTGAAAACTTCTGCAAGTATCCAAACATGTTGCTTACAGTTAGGAACTTTAAATATCTTAACTTCAGCAGTGAAATTGGTATTATCAACTACTCATTGTTGATATTAGAATGAGTTCAAAGAACATGATTAAGGGAGTTTCAAGGAACTTTACAATGTCATGGTGTCATGAAGACATGTGCTGGTAAAAATAACTGACAAACTGCCTTTTGTCCGCTGGGAGCAGGTCATAATTGCTTTGGGTCACAAGTGATAATTGAAAGAAAAACCCTCTGAGTAACTTTCAATTAAATTGAGTTATTTTGATCACATCACCTTTGGGATAATTTTCTATTTCATGCTGGTCTTTAGTTGATGTGTAAAATGATGAAAATGTTACAGTCATCTGATGTGTCTGGGTCTACTATAAAATTGTTTAGAAACAGCAATGACAGTAAAACTGCAGACATAGAAAAACAAGCAAACAAAAACACATCTAGATATTCTCAGTGATGGAAGTCTATTTTTGTTCTCTGTTAAATCTATTTGATTTTGATTTTCTGTAATAACGAACACGTGAGCTCAAGTATTATTTGGAAACATTTGTCCTTTCATTCAGTTGGTCATGTATTACATAGTCTTTTTATTTTTGCACATAAAAATAAATACAGTAAATACAATAAATCAATCACCATAGACCTTGACATCGCAGCCTATGTTTCCACGGCAGTACATAATTAAACTTCACAAAACAATTGTACAGGGCTACCTCACTGATGAAAACTATTCTCATTATGTTACGAATGGTTGTTCTCACTTCCATTTCAGTGAGACAAAGCCATCATTTTCATGGTGTCAAAGAAGGGGAAGGCACAACATTGACAGGCTATTTTCTTGCATTCTTGGAGATTTTGAAGGAGTTGTATCCTGTTCAACAGACACAAAATCCCTCATCAAATGTGAGTTTACGCGACGATGTGTGAAAGCATGTTTTGGGTATGTCATGTGTGGATTCAACAGATGTTTGACTTGATTATACTCTTCAAGCCTTAAAATAAAGGAGTGGTTGATTTCATTACAAAAGTTTTATCGGAAAATTGACAACATTTGAGTATCATAGTGGTATGGGTCAGGGCTCTTGAAAACTAAGAGTCTGACAGCAACTGTGAATTATCTTCTGCTGGTGTGAAATAAATTCCATAACTGTAGTTATATAATCATTAGAATCTTGAAGAGTCAATAAAATGTGTGCTAAAACGTGGGTCTCTCCTTCTGGGGATGTCTTCTTTGGGAAAATGTTTTAAACACACCGATAAAAAGTTAAGATGGTTATGGTAAATGGGTCCTTTTCAGTCCAAATCTGACTTATGAGTGCCAGTGAAATGAATGCAAGGTTGTGTTTTTTTTCTGTACACTGCTAAAAGCTGTTCATGCACCTCAGATCTAGAGTAGCTGTGTGTAAAACTTTTTCACAATGGTTACGATTAAGCTCAGTGGTACAAGTAGTGGAAAATAGAGTGCATGTGAGTAGAGAACATTTGGGTTTGAAAGACATTAAGTAAATACATTTTGAGAAGAATAAATTGAGAATACATTTAGAGAGGGGTATTTGCTGAAAGCATTAAAAATAAGCATGTCTTCTCAATCCTGAAATGTTTCCTGCAAAATGAATATAAAGACTGCTAAAATTAATTTGTGTATTTGTGCTGTTTGACTCTTGACATACCTGCCTCCTCCATAGTTTTTTTTAAACTACTTTAAAAGATGCCCCTGTAATCACTCTGAGTCAAGACCTGAGAACTCAGGATAATATCAGCAGCATCCAGTACACCAGAAATTGCAATTTAAACTTGAAATAAGATTAAAATTAGTAGAGTAAAATTTCAAAACATCTTTAGGGAAGAAAGTTGGACTTGAAATCCATAGGCAAGGATGTAATGACAAAGACAGCATCACAACAATATTCAGCTGTAAATAATAATCTTTAAAAATATATATTAGTATAACAGTAGCAAACAATATAGAACCTCATTGTATAATAAATTTGCTCAAACAAGTGAATATATTGCAAACAAACAGAATAGATTTTTTTCAAGCACCCTGATCCATACCCCTGGTATACTCAAATCTTCACAAAGATTTATTATGAAAACACTTCGCTTACAGAACTTTGAGCATGGCAATAAACTTCGTGGATTCCTGGCTAAGTGATTTGAAAAAAGTGAAAACAACCATTACTTCAGTTGAGGACTGAGAAGGAAATTTCACTCATCCTGATGTAATCAACAAAAACCTTAAGAGACTTTTATATAATATTTGTCTCAAAATAGGAAATAGAGAAACATATTGATCAGTTTCTTAGTAATATTATCTTTCTAAAATTACCACCTAAACAAACCGAGGATTTAGATTCACCTTTCTCAATAGTGGAGCTCCATTAAGCCCTTCAACATATGCCTAGTAATGGCCATAGTTTCCAGCAGAGGTTTATAAGAAATGTTGGAATTATTTTGCACATATTTCCTAAAATGGTATTACAAGTCAAGAAGAATGGCAGTAGCCTATATCCCCAAGCATTAACTCTTCCAATATTATTCTACTGCAGAAACTAGGAAAATATCTCAGTTAAAATTCAAGTATAAAATAAAATAATTAACAGTTATTTATAACGACTCCATCCCCTTTTTTTTTTTTTTACAGAATTTGATAATGTCAATCAAAATAAGGTGAGCTTGTTGTTTCTGTATCATGTCCCAACAACAGCGGCTGAGTTTTGTAAATCGTAATGAGCATTCTATTGATAGGGACAGAGAGACAGCTCGTGATACTGCTTTAGCCTTGGACAGCAAAACCCTTCCATTTAGAGAAAGATCCATGGTTAATTGTTTTCCATGTTTTCTACTATTTGATCCAAATTGAAAGACAAGTGCATTCTGTGAGCGCTGGATGTTCACTACCAGCGAGACATCTAAGAGGAGATGACGCCATTGTCCTATTATTATTTTGCAGATGGTATAACCAAAGTTGTCGTTCCTTATCTGTAGAGCTTCATGACTACCTATACAATTAGTCGGATAAAAAATGCTTGTATTGCTGTTTCTTAAACGTAGTTGGGATACTTAATGCTACTAAAAATAACCATTAAAAAGTTCTATTCGGGCATTCTACTTGAGGTCCTAAATCCGACAAGGCAAACATCTGACGTATACCGGAAGGGACCTAGCTTTTGCAGCACACGTGTGTTGTTCGCTGTTGCAATGGCGGACCTACAGATGAAGCTCCTTCGCAAGAAAATTCAGAAAAGAAACGTGAAGAACAAGAACCGCAATTTACCGAAGACATTGAAACAAGAAGATGAGGCTGGTGAGGATGTAGAATTAAAACTGTTCCGTTTGTTTCTACAGCTTGATCGAACGTTACTCGCTGATAATTTCTTGCTACCGTAGAACTGTTAGCTTCATCATGGGTAATTTCCTTTAGTTGTAAGTTACATAAATATGCTCAGTCGCTCTTACGTTTATCTTACTGCTCCGTTTGATGTGTATGTCATGACTTTGGCATATGTTTTCATTTTTAGGTTTGTTTAGTTAGCACCCTTTAAGTGTTTTAGCATTGGGTGTCGGTCATTACAAAGAACAACTTGAGTTGTCATAGACAGGGAAATTATCACTTAAAGTGTAATGTCGGTTTGATCAGAACCCTGGCACTGAATGTATCTTTTTACGGCCCTGAAAAGGAATTGAAAGTGGCCCTCTGGATCACAGTCCTATCCCCCGCGTGTTGGATGGAGAGCCTCCCAAGAAACCGGCCAAGAGACCAGTGGAAAAGACGACCGTCGAAGATGCTCCTGAGAAGAAACTAGGGAAGAAGAAAAAAAGAAAATTAACAGATACGAATAAACCACCAAGTAATGCCTTTAAGAGTTTAAAGGAAATTGTTTAAACACGGTGTTGTTTTCTTGTCATTCATTATAAAATGTCTTCGTTTCTAGCTAATAAGAAAAGCAAAGCCGAGTTACAAGAGGAAGAGTCGGCAAACGAGGATAGCGATGAGTTAAACGAAAATTCTACCGAAGAAGAAGACAAAGATTCAATGGAACATGATGAAGAGGAAGATCAGCCTGAATTGCCCTCTGGCTTAACAGGTATTATTGTAATGTTGTAATGTAATGTTGATTTTCGTAGATCATGATCTATGGTGTTATGCATGAATTATTTTTTTAAAGCAATCAATCAGTTTCCTAAATAATTTGTTAAGTCAAGTTGCAGGAAATGCTAATTAGTAAAGTGCACCTATGCATTTCAAAGGTGTATAAATTCATGTAAAAGAAAAGTAGATCAGTTATGTTCAGTCTGCCCATAATTTCATGAGTAGCATCCCTGCAAGCTTTAGAAAAGGTTTATGCGTCCATCTAATGTGGCCATTGCCATAGCGCCACCAGCTTAGAATAACCTACCCCCACATTATTCACCAGACCTTCCTTAAATATGAAAAGAAAAATTGAAAACGCTCTCTTTAAAAATCTGACATGTTGGGAGGTCAGGTCTACGGTTTTATTTCATATGATGCCGTGACCACCAAAGTCATTATAAATAATTTTGATTGCATTCCAGCATAACAAAATTAACATGCATTGATCACTGTCGTGCTAATTGTTGTGTTGGGTGTTTTGTGTCTGTCGACATCAGACACCCCGCCAAGCGGAGGTTTCATGCAGCCTGCATCTCAGCAGAATCCACAAGCCCTCTAATCACATACAGATCAGATGGTCTTCATATTTGCTAGTCCTTATTCGCCCAGTTGGTTGAAGACTTTGCAGTGTGTTTTTTGTTTACATGCCCTTTCATGAGTTATCAATCATGTTGTTTTAGGAGCCTTTGAGGACACTGCGTTTGCCTCTCTTGCTGGGCTGGTGAGTGATAACACGCTCAACGGAGTGAAGGAGCTGGGCTTTGAACATATGACTGAAATACAACACAAGAGTATTCGTCCCCTGCTGGAAGGAAGGTATTCCAGACTTTTTCTTAAGCGTTGACTTTTAAGCACATACATAAATGTCAAAACCACAAATAACCCATTTCCACCGGTATCTAATTGGCATAATTTGGCTCAACTTGATTTAAAAGTACCCGCTCGGCCGGGTTCCAAACGAGCTGAATTGATTACAGGCCACTGATTGGCCAGAAGTCACATGACTGGACACAGTAGCAATTAACTTACTGAGATTCAGCAGATCTACCATCTGCCTAGCAGATCTGCACTACATTGTATAGTTTTTAGGTCATAAAATGAGCCAAATTGAGAAGCACTGAATAGATATGGGTGGACAAGGGCCAAGAGTTCCTGGGGGAATGAGATACTGAAAGTTTGCAATGTCAGCCACTGAGATGTTAAACTGTGTTTAACCCATGCTTTCCTGTAGAGATGTTCTTGCTGCCGCCAAGACAGGCAGTGGTAAAACTTTGGCCTTCCTCATCCCATCTATAGAACTTGTGTATAAACTCAAGTTTATGCCAAGGAATGGTGAGTTTTTTCTTTTATTGATGGCTTCTCTATGCAGATCATGGTTGCACCTCTTCCTCTCACCACTGACTGAAACCTGACACGCCATTCTTGTTCCAGGCACAGGCGTAGTAATCCTGTCTCCCACACGGGAGTTAGCAATGCAGACTTACGGCGTACTGAAGGAGCTGATGACTCACCATGTGCACACCTATGGCCTGATCATGGGTGGCAGCAATCGCTCAGCTGAAGCTCAAAGACTGGCAAATGGTGTCAACATTTTGGTGGCCACACCTGGCCGCCTGCTGGACCACCTGCAGGTAAGCTGGGACACGGGGGTCTTAGACTACTGATGGAATATGTGACATAATGCAATTGTTGTTTAATCCATTTCGTTTTCCCTCACTGTATTTGAAGGTTGTTTTTAAAAATAACATCTTTCACTGTTTTCAGAATACCCCAGGCTTTATGTACAAGAACTTGCAGTGTTTGATTATTGATGAGGCCGACAGAATCTTAGAGGTGGGCTTTGAAGAGGAACTGAAGCAAATCATCAAACTGCTGCCGAGTATGTTTTTGTTGTTGGTATATCCACCTCTTTGTAACTTTAGCGGAACACTGTTTTGAGTAAATCTGTCCCATGCTTCAAAATTAAGCCACATCTAGATATTCAGAGTTTAATACGTTACAATTTTTAAAGGGCAGATTTCACAAAGACGAAAATGTTTTTTTTAAACTTTATTTTTTTAATGCAACATACTTCAGTTGTAGTTGCAATGATTGTGCTGTTTTAAAACACTCAGACCTAGTCTGATTCACTTTGAATTTATTTGATCTTTTTGACTACAGAGAAGCGTCAGACCATGCTGTTCTCAGCCACTCAGACCCGAAAAGTAGAGGACTTGGCTCGAGTCTCCCTGAAGAAGGAGCCCTTGTATGTTGGGGTGGATGACAACAAAGAGAAAGCCACCGTCGATGGCCTCGAGCAGGTACTGTCTGGGTCCTCTGTGTGCTCAATTTTCACATGTAGGTTATGCTTCCAAAAAGAAAAATGTGTTACACACAATGTGTAAACTCTTAGTCTTACCAAAATGATAGAAACTCAAAACCCAAAATCACAAGTAGATGCTCAGATAATGCAGTTGGGGGTTTAATCACTCCCGCTGTATTTTGTCCAACTCTCCTCGAACTGTCCTAGGCACTCGAGATATGCAAGATCCACATCTTTGGTTAACAATACTTGGTTTTTGTGTGGTTTAAGAGTAAGATATAAAAAGAGATTTTCTTTAAAAAAAATAATAATTTATTTCTTGGTAGGCAGAAATTATGCCTGATGTGTGACGCCCATTAAGACTTTGTCTGGGACCTGTCACATCTTCATCTGATAAAAAAAATCTGCATTCTAAGTGCATTTAGAGCCGGCAGAATGTTGTGAAATTTTTCTCTGCACAGTCCACAGAATTGTACGTACGTCAGTTACTGGCACAGTTCCAAAGACGTTTAGTTAAAAATCAAACCTAAATCAGACTTATATAAGTTAAAAATGTAATTGCACTGAGTATCATTTAGAAAAGATACTGGGTCATGAATACATATGAAAGAAACCTTCTCATGTTTTAGGGATACGTGGTGTGTCCATCTGAAAAGCGCTTCCTGCTGCTCTTCACCTTCCTGAAGAAGAACCGCACTAAGAAGCTGATGGTCTTCTTCTCGTCCTGCATGTCCGTCAAATTCCACTATGAGTTGCTCAACTACATTGACCTACCTGTCTTGGCCATCCACGTAAGCCCTTTCTCAACAGCAGTCATTTAACGATTTTGTTCGCAGCTCCAGAGCCAGCTGCAAATGTTTTTTCATGTTTCATCTCACAGGGCAAGCAGAAGCAGACCAAACGCACCACCACCTTTTTTCAGTTCTGCAACGCTGACTCGGGAATCCTGCTGTGCACAGATGTCGCCGCGCGAGGACTCGACATCCCTGAGGTGGACTGGATTGTCCAGTATGACCCCCCCGATGATCCCAAGGTCTACCAGATTACTGATGCTTTTTATTGTATTTTCAGAAAAAGCAGAAAAAATGGCACGTGCTTATTTTCATAGGATTTTTTTTCAAGCCTTTCCTCTGTGCCAACAGGAGTACATCCACAGGGTAGGCAGAACAGCCCGGGGCATCAATGGGAGAGGCCACGCACTTCTCATTCTGCGACCTGAGGAACTTGGTTTCCTTCGCTTCCTGAAACAAGCCAAGGTACCCATCGCACATTTTGTGATTTTTAGTTTCTTTGTACAGTTAATAATCGTCTTTCTAACTTCAAATGGAATCTTTACTGTATTTGAATATATCTTGGTGATTTATCAGGGGATGTTTCTCCTCTCTCTCCATATATTGTTTTGTTTAGGTTCCTCTGAGTGAATTTGAATTTTCCTGGAGTAAAATCTCTGACATCCAGTCCCAGGTGAGAAAGCAGTTGTAGTCTCCATTTTACTGATTTCACAAAGTTATTATGATCAGCATCTGCGGCAAGTTCTCAGAGCACTCCAAAGTTCTTGCTTGAGGTTTTTCAGAATCTATTAGTTGGTATGCAATGTTCTGTGTAAGGCAGATCAGGAAACACTTTAGGTATGATACTTATAATATTGTCATGCTATGATGATTCCTTTGACCTTCCGTATTATGGCAGATATCTGAAACATTTCATCTGTAGCTTATTAATTCCTTCAGGGCGTCTGGGTCTTAAGAGTTTCTCCTCAACTTTTTCCTCCTGGGTGTTCATTTTAGGTTTAAGAATAGATTTTTAACTTAACAAGCATCTATATTCGTCATTTTCAATGTAAATGAGCACAGTTCTTTTGTAACTTGCTGAGCTTTTCCTTTGTAACTTTCATGAATATAGCCCCTACACTTGAAAGGAAACCCTGGTCTTTGATCAAAGTCTGACTTTAAAATAATTCTTTCTTAGATGGAGAAGCTGATCGAGAAGAACTACTACCTCCACAAGTCAGCCCAAGAGGCCTACAAGTCTTACGTGAGGGCATACGACTCTCATTCACTCAAGCAGATCTACAGCGTGAACACCCTCAACCTCCCGATGGTGGCCCAGTCATTTGGCTTCAAAGTTCCCCCATATGTTGATCTCAGTATCCTTTGTTGTGGTTGCATATATGGCAACATTATTTGTCTTTCTATCATTGCACGGGTCTTCATGTCATTGAGTTGATTACAGCATGATGGAAAACACTATCTGCACACACAAGCATGTTACCTTTTGTCTAACAGGCATTACAACTCATCTTCAAGGTTTCGAGTCTGTGTCTGTGAACACCATTCTTCTATGTTGAGGGTGCATTTTAAGTAGGAGTCTTTATTATCTTTATTATCAGCTGACTGCGTTGCCATTTTTGCCACCGTCATCAAACGAAAAGCGAGATTCCTAAGGAATATTCTGTTTTTGTCCTTAATTTCTCTCCTTTCAAGACACCCACAGCGGTAAAGGTCCAAAAATGCAGAAGCACGGTCGAGGAGGCAGCTTCGGATACCAGAAGTTCAATAGTTCGCATAAGTCCAAAATTTTTAAGCACGTCAACAAGGGAAAAAGTGATGGAAGGCAGTTCTCCCGCTAATCCTTTCCACATAAACATCAGTTATCTCTCCTGTCTGTTTACAGAATTCACCTTTACTTTGAACAGGTGCAGCGTACTTTGTCAGAATCAACATTTTTCCTTAGCAGAGATTACCTTGTTTTTCAGGTAAGAGTTCATAAGCGTATAATAAGAGTACATTTGTGGAAGTGTATAAGAACCCCCGAGTTAAAATTCAGACAAATGCTCTCAAGTTGCTTGGATTAATCTGTCATGTAGTTTTCTATCCATTCGGAATTAATTGAAGTATACTTATCCTAGCTGTTTCATAATCTGATTTATATGAAATAAAATGAACCATTAACACTGACTGCTCAGTCCCAGTACTTAAGCGAAGCTTTCACAGCATTCTTTACATGACAAGCCATTAGCTGTTTCACAGAAACGTGTCATTTTTAGCCTTTTGTGGTAGACCTTCAGGTTTTGATTATGACTTGCTTTCGAGTTTATTGCAAAATGTGAGTCGGTCTGATAATTACGATGTATCATCAGATCAGGTGGAGGTTACCTGTAAAGACAAGTGATTTGCCACACGTTTTTAAGGGCTGAAGTGGTCCCACATTGCAGATAACCTTGGTTCAGTGTTTATTTGTAGAATAGATAGGAAAAAAAGTTCAATATTCTTATTTTAGCAAAAGGTACATGACTATGAACTTCCATTTTCAGCCGTACATTAACTAGTCAAACTCCTATTTATTACTCTTAAAGGTTGAAGAACACTTTCGAAAAGAATAGGAAAGTGGTTTAATTGCCTTAAGTGCAACACATTTTTCAAAATGTCTGTGTTATTTGGGATGGATTAGTACAGATGAGAATGAAAGTCAGAGAGAGTAGTGAAATCCTTTATTCCCTTAAAGCAGCTTGGATCTGGTCATGCTATTCCATTGTCTTCCATTATCACAAACATTTTCTGGTGACTCAAATTACTGCTGCTGACCTGTGAGGTGACATGAGGTTTGCGTTTTTTGGCAGCACAATTAAAAAAAGTACAGTTAAGATTCCGGTAGAGCACAAATTTAAATTATTTGGAGCATTAAAAAAAAAAAAAAACTGAACTGTGATGTACAGTAGTAATACTATCTTTTGCACGATAATGGGCCATGACCTGTAGAGAAGTACGTATACAGTTCATGTTGGACTTTTTTTTTTACTCTCCTTCTTGTCAATGAGCAAAGCATCTCTCAACCTGTAGCATGATTCCCATAGATGTGGGGATATACTCCTCATATCCAACACCTCACCACTGCCGGCAACAGTCCTGAATTCAGTGTTGGGTAATGTCCACTTCAGTATCGAATATATAGTTTTTTTTTTAATGACAATACATCTCATCTAGGATACAAGTTTTAAGAGAGTAGGCGACAGTTGATGCCATATCAAAACATTGCAAAAGAAGCTGTTCTAAGCTGTTGATGCCAGACGTGTTCACGTGAGATCATCCTTGAAAGAAATGATCTTGCATAGTGTTTTTTATAGCTGAGATTGTAGACAGTACACGCATTCCTACGGTTGGTCCATGTCAATACAGTGAAAACAGATTGCCACACCGTGCTCTTTCTTTCTCCTCTTCTTTTGCATTTGTGCATCAGTCAGTGTGAAGTCTTGTAGTCCCCAAGAACATTTAGTGGAAAACGGGGATTGAATCGGCATCAAAAAAATATTTTGGCCCAAAACAGATTAATGATTGCGCCAATTGGTTTAGTTTGTGTTATTTTGATCTGGAAATAACGTAAACACCAAGACGACATGTTATTTATTTATTTTTCTACTGGCCACCCTGAGGTCTACCTGATAACAGCATATAATAACAGCACTTTACAAGGGCTTTTTATCTTACGTAATAAAGTTTTAGAGTTCCTTTTGCTGGAATTGATCAGCCTTGTAAAGGCATGCCCATATAACTCACTAGAAATTCCAATGAAACTTTAACAATGTTCAACAGGAGGGGGGAAAAACTGGTGAAACCGACTGGGGAGATGTGATGTCAGCCTCTGTTATTCATTAATATGCGTACTATGTATTGTCAATTGACTTAAACTTTTCATCAACACCATTACCCCATAATTCATCAGGAAGAAATTCATTGATGATTTTGATCATACTCTGTCAACGCACCGTACTTCAACTATAAGACGTAACCACACTCGACAAACAAGTCAGTGTCACAATCCTTATCAGTGTCACTCATGTAATATCAAAAATCGGAACGGGTAACAGGGTGCTTTCTGATGTATGTAGAAGGACTCAATTGATTTTTCTCAAACCTGTTGTCAGTTAATGACAGAACATCCAGGATAAATCAAAGCCAGACTGCCATTATTGGCCACTACTTTACATTAAGGAAATATAATGTTATTGCATACCGTTGCTATTGTAGCAAACATCTATGGTCTCCCAGTTCATGGCTTTCTGGACAGCCTTCTTCCAACGAGCAAAGCGGTACTCGCTCTCTGTTTGAGAAAATAATACAGATTTCTCTGTTAAAAGAGTGACATGCATTAAAAAGGAGAAGATACAAGCTAAAGACAAGTTTAACTTTGCTAAAATGAATACTTTATATAAATCTTTTTATTTTGTGGAGACTACCAGAGTGAAAAAAAAAAAAAAAAAAAAAGTTTATGCTGGTAACACCAGTGCTTGAATGGAGTCATGTCAATTCAGTGGGCGGTCCCAGAAGGTATACAGCTAGTATTTAAACCATAAATACAGTTTGACCTAACCTTCAGGGTTCAATTCGGGTTCATATCTCTCAGATGTGAGATGTGGGAGCTGACCAGGGCTCAGGTTCCACACATTGACCCCCTCTGCTGCTCCTGCTGCCATAGCAGCTCCCAGTGCTGTGGTTTCTGACATGGTCGGTCGCACTAGACCAAAATGAAAAACAAAAAAAAATCACACATTAATAAATTAAATCGGCACAAATAATTTATAATTTTTTTTAAGGTAAAGAAATGAATAACCAGTACATCTATTTTATTTGCATAAATTCAGCCATGTTTGGTTTAATTTCTGAATGTTTTCATCCATTTTCTGTACCGCTTATTCCTAACAGGGTCACGGGGGGACTGGAGCCTATCCCAGTATACAATGGACAAGAGGCAGGGTACACCCTGGACAGTCCGCCAGTCCATCGCAGGGCCACATAGAGACACACAATCACAAACAACCATGCACACTCACATTAGTGTCCAATCAAACAAACATATATGTTTTTGGGCAGTGGGAGTAAGCCAGAGTACCTGGAGAAAACCCACACAGACATAGGGAGAGCATGCAAACTTCACGAAGAAAGGTCTTGGTTTCCTCTGGGACTCCAACCTGGAGCCAATCACATTCTGATTTTATTATTTTTTTTAAGTTTAACTTTAAATTTCTTTTGAAACTTGGTTCTTTATAACTTGGCACTTGGAATCTTGCTGGGATCAATTTTGCTATTGTGATAGTAAATGCTAAATATAACTATCAAGTTGCAAAAAAAAATCTGGTAATCCATAACTATGCTATACTAAAGTATCATTGTTGCGAAAAGCTACGTGTGTCTTTGTTTGTAAGTGATCTGTGTTCTTACCGACAGGTATACAGAGTATGTCTGCCTGCAGTTGCATCAGTAATCGGTTGGCTGTCATGCCCCCATCCACCCCCAGCTGTTTCAGGGGGACGCCACTGTCCTGGTTCATTGCATCAAGGATCTAACACAAAGTTTTTTCAAACCACATAAACTCTAAATGCTGATGAAATATATTTGTACTTCTTTTGCTAGTACATTTTAATCTATATTGAAATTTGTATTTATCTGCTATACCCTACAGCTTAAAAAAACAAAGAAAATGGTTGAGGTTCAAAACTTGGATTTTTATACATCTACTCCTTGGGTTAAAAAAGAAAGATGCCACTGACCTCTCGAGTCTGGAAGCACACAGCCTCAAGGGCTGCAAAGGCTAAGTGGTTCTTATTGGTAAACTGTGTGAGCCCACAAATAATCCTGAAAAACAGATACATTCATTAAATTATGGAAACTTTCATGATGATTGGTTAGACAATTATAATTTTGTCCAGGATGCATGGCATCCTTGGCGCCGAAAATGGCTGCCTCGGTGCTTTCACCAAAGCAAATTCCTTGTATGTGTAAACCTACTTGGCAATAAAACCCAATTCTGATTCTGATTCTGATTCTGATCATAACTTTAAATACTGCAAAAAAAGAAAACTCCAGGACATGAATATAAAACCAGTGTCTTAAATATCCATAGTTTAAAACAGCTGACACCCTCTCACCCTCTAGCACTTGGTTCCCAATAGGGAGCGTAGAGTCCAGAAAATGCTGGTACAAAGTAACAGCCATACGACGTGCCTGCTGCAGCAGCTAGTTTCTCTAAAATGAGAGGGTGAGGAAAGAGAAATGGGTCTATTCATATCTGTATACACATGTATTACTTCAGCATATTTATTTGTACAATCAAGTTTGTTATGTTTGCGCCAGAGCAAGCACCGATGTCTGAGGATGTCTGAATAATGCCCATGTTGTCCTTAAGCCACCGAACAACTGCCCCAGCAATGGCAACTGAACCCTGCAGGAAAAAAGGGGGAAAAAACAAACACGTCTAAGGTCGAATGGCTGCCACTTGGAAATACATCTGCAATATACTCACGTAGGCTACATTTATAAGCAAAACCTAGATTAAAATAAGGGTGACATGCTAAAACAGTCTCTCACTTCAAGCGCATAGCAGGCAGGCTTATCCTTCCCTAGCTTATAGGCTACTGTGGTGAGCAGGCCATGGTCTGACATCACACGCTGAAAAACAAATTAACAGAACAAACAAAAAAACAAAGAGGAGCAGGTGATATACATTTTAAAACTGCTTTAGAAATTGGTTAAAAAAAAAAGAATCTTACCTTGGTTCCCGTATTCCTGAGCAAAAAGCAACCAGTGCCGTAACTAATAAGAATTTAAAAAAGAAATAAGTTCATGCATAAACAATGTCTGAATTTGGTAATGTTACACAACCTGCACCCCCCCAAAAAAAACAAAAACCAAAACAAAACAACAACATTATAAATGAGATACATCAAATTGAATCAAGGTTTTCAATATTTCAGTACTGAAAAGTGTTGCAAAGTGAAAATATCATATGGCTTACGTGTTTTTGGCTTCTCCTTCCTCAAAGAACATATGACCAACCAATGCAGCTGACTGGTCACCAAGACACTGATGGAGAAACAGGAGGTGATCTGTCAGCCATACAATTTAAGAATTCAGTCCCAAAAATCTGAGATATTTACCGTTCTTCTAGCTTCAAAAAAATATATTTTGTGAAAAAACCACTGTACAGTATTCACAGAAAACCTCTAACATTTTTTGCAAGTTTTTGCAGAGACAGATAAAGGTTGTAATCACAGTTTCAGAGCTTTGGTTCTACCCTTTTGCTCCCTTTATAGGTTGATGTTTGCACGGCAGATTACTTTCAAGCACCTACGGTGGCTCTATAAACTAGAAGACCTCAAAGGAAAAGCTCAGGTCCGGAATCAGTCCAAAGCCTGTAGTTTTAGCTTTTTTATTATCTGTGATTTATTTCATTTGTCTTAGTTTTTATCAGGTTTTTCTTTTGTTTCTATGTGTTAGTTTGTTTCCATCGTTTCGAAATCATGTCATCATAGTTCCTCAATTCCCTTCCTGTTCTGGTCATTAATATACTCTTCTCACTTGTCTTCAGCTTTCTAGTTTCTTTCACTCTTTGTCAAATCCCCCAACAGTTATTGCAAGTCCTATTTTGGTTCTCAGTTTGTCTATTGCATTGCAGTCTTTTTTCTTACACCACTGAATGTTTGCACTTTGGGTCATATTCCAAGCACTCCCCTAGACGAGTATGGCCATTTTTTAAGGTAGGTAGGAAGAGTGGTGCCCAAAGTGAAGCAAACAGACCAAGGGGAATAAAATGATAATCAAATCAGTTTCTCCGATCAATAGAAACATTTATCAGTGAGTTGTTTAGATGTTTTATTGGTGAGAATCTTGTATTTTCTTTAATTGCTTTTGTCATTGACTGTACCCACTAGTGTTACAACATTGCAACATAAGGCTGCAAAACAATAAAACATTTAACTTTAATTTTCCAAAGGCATTGAGGCACTGCTTTTGTGTACCCAGCATATTTGCATAGATACAAGCTGATCAAATTTCAGTGTTGAAAACTTCAGAGGTCAGAGGTGTACTGATAGTGAGTTTCGGAGGAGAAAGAAAATCATTATGCAGTCTGTTTACTTCTCTTACACACATCTGTTGAATAATTGAGGAAACTGAATAACTGGAATGCATAATTATCAGAGTAATGGTATGAATAAAATTACAAAATGTATTTGTTTTTTTGATGAAATGTCTATGTAGTTCCGTTTGGGGTCAGTTGGGGGTAGAAAGGGGGTAGCTCAGTGGTAGAGCATTTGACTGCAGATCCCCTATTCAACTTTTGGTGTCCCCCTACTTTGTAAGTCGCTTTAGATAAAAGTGTCTGCTAAACAAACAGTTGCATACAGATTCAACAAATGGGACCCAAGGGGTCATATCTTTAAATTCCTTTTGTGATTGGATAACCAAGGAAGCCTGTTCTTGGACCAGTCAACAGATTCAACAATTCGATATGTCATGGAAAAAAATCTTACCCCTGAGATGGGAACTCCTTCAAGTAAGCCAGATTTCTAGGTCAGGACACAGAAACACACACATCCTTAGATTTACAATGGTTGACTACAGGAATGTGTTCTTTACAGGTCAATTACACTCTACACCAGATTTGCCTTCAGATAAAATAAAAAAAAGAAATTGATATATATTTGGAACTGGCAAACTATTTAGTGGAACACTTTAACAGTGATAGTATGGTATCTCTAGTATAATTTCTGATCAAAAGGAAAATTACTACAAATAAAAAAATCTTTAATTTACTGGACATGAATATTATTAAAAATCCTAACACAGTTATATAAAATTAAATATAACAAGTGCGTAAGATAAAACAGCCTTGAAAATAAGGATCTGGGGTGGTGGAAGAATGATTACTTCATGTCAAACTGATGAAATATAATAAATCAGATGAGCTACATTCAATCTTCATGAAAATAAAACTCTTTTAGGTTGGTCAGGCAGATGATAAGGAAAACACACACACAAAAAAAGCAAAAAAACAGCTGCTGACCTCTGGACTTCAGTACAAAGGACCTGTTTCTATAAAAGGCCTGAACAGTAGAAAGATAAGGCATGAGGACATCCAAACAGACACAGAAGAACATGATAACTGACATTATCCCACTACTTGTGAAAAGGCCCGGTTAACAGTGCTTGATCTAACCACCATGGTTTGATGTTTTAAAAAAACACGTATCATGCGTCACTTAAGCCATTTATCCTGAATAATGAGATATATTCCATCATAGTCAAAATTTTTGTCAAAATCTCAAACATACTTTTGCATTATAGTTAATAATCATGCCGTGCGATGGACTGGGGGACCATCCAGGGTGTACCCCACCTCTCGCCCATTGACTACGGGGTTAGGAATAAGCGGTAACGAAAATGGATGGATGGATAGTTCATAGTCATGTGTGAATCTTTGGATGGGTTTATTAACAGAGACATAATTTTTAAATACAATTCCATTCAAGACCGATGATGAATACTTCTGTTATGTCCTGACTGAGCTGTAAGAAACTGGCTGTCACTTGATGTCTAAAGTATAGTTAAAAATAAAGGGCTAGAGTAACCTAGACACACAGCTTTAAAGCTGTGCATTGTCAGCGTGACTGTAAAAATTCATGCCTTGTCTCTTTATAACGTTGTAAAAGAGCAGCATGTAAAGAATACTACTAGCCTTAAAACAGAGGCTCGGCAAATGGTGAGTCATCATGTTCCTGTGGATGCTGATTCTAACCCTAACCCATGTTTAAAAAGAACAAAAATATGGGACTCTCTTTAGCTCTTGAATTAGCTGAAAGGAATGGCGATATCGAACCAGGCAATATCAGGAAAAAAAACATTTTGAACTTGCTCACCATCCAGCCATATATTTCAGAGGAACTTCGGACTTCGGGCAGGATATCCATTGGTATATCAAAGTATCTGCAAGAAAAACAACAGGAGTCAGAATCTCGATGGAAAACTTTTGTTGATCTAAAAATTGTATGCAAACAAACATAGAAACATATGTTTTAGTTGCTGATACCAAAAGCACAGTGGGAAACATTGAAAAGTTTACACTTTAAATCTCATGTCTTCAATGATTCTTTCTTAATCTTTATCCTTCAGAAAGAATGCCAATGTGAGTAAAGTCCTGAACTATTTAGATTACCTGCATAATTCAGGATCCCAGTCCATGGTATGGATGTTAAAGAGCATCGTGCGACTGGCGTTTGACACGTCAGTACAGTGGACACCTCCATTCTTGCCACCTGTTAGACACTGAAAAAAAATGTAAGTGAATGAGTACATAAATCCACATTGGGCTTGTTGACAAGAGTACAGAAAAAATTACTTCATCCAGGTCTTACCCAGATTATCCAGGAGTCTACGGTGCCAAATATAGCGCGGTCTTTGACCACTGCCTCGTGTATTTCATCCACATTGTCTAGCAGCCAACGCAGTTTTACTGCACTGAAGTAAGTGCTGATTGGAAGCCCTGTCTTGTACTGGAGAAATATCAGGTTGAAAAATATATTTAATCAAATAAATTAATTCAAATGATGAGCAACTTAATGTAAGGAGATCAACATGGAGGCCCACTCAATTTTTATCATGCTTTCCTTCAAAACAGGAGCACCTTCCAAACTGCAATTCAAATGACAGCCCCATCAGCTAAAAGAATATGGCTTCCATACCTTAAGGTGGTTCTTATCTTTGCCTGGAGCTTTGTTAATGAGTCTCTCTACTGTCGACTGTGTGCGAAGGTCCAGCCAAACTACATTGAGGGCAAAGGAAGTTTTACATAAAAGAATTAAAAACATCTTTGTCTAACAAAATTAAGTGAAGGGCTTGTCCATATAATTAATACATATTACTAATATAGACCTTAGTTGTTTTAAAGGAAAAGCTCTTAATTATGATCCACTGTGGGAATCCTGTGGTTCACAACCAGCCTGTTCCTTCCTTGTGACAAAGTTTCCCTTTCAATGGAAAAATTTAATTGTCAGTCTCGTAGTTAGAAACTAGGTATTTCTGAACCGCTTATTCCCAAATGCCGTCAGCGGGGGAGAAACTAGGTATTGAAGAATCATTTTTTTTATTGTATTATGATGATGATAAAATTAATTGGATTGCAACTGGTTTGTCTAGGACTGAAGTGTCCTGAAGTAACATTTGCTGTGATGTGGTACTATATACAAAAATGTTGCTGAGACAAAACAAGATATTTACTCTATTTTTTTGTTGTACTGACCAATGGCATTGTAGAGTGGTTGTCCTGTCTCTTTGTCCCAGACCAGGGTTGTCTCTCGCTGATTCGTCACACCCACCGCTACAATAAATAACATGATCAATTAAAATATGAAATACAAAGGGGAAAAAACCTACACAATAGCCTCTAATTCTTCATATATGTACAAAACATGTTTTAATTGTTAATAGTTAAACATAGTTTACTTATCGAACTCGTGAATCAGCGTACATCGCATTAATGCCCTACCTTTTATGTTGGAGACTTCAATGTTGAGCTGGCCAAGTTTCTCGCAGGTCCTATTTATGCACTCGTAGATAGACTGGATTATTTCCCTTGGGTCCTCCTCCACCCATCTGACTCAAACACACATAGAAGCATCTGAAAAAGTGTACATGGTAACATCATAGCAAACATCAGCTATGCCATCTTGTCGAGCACTCAAACAAACAAAAGCTTGTCTTCTGGCATGATGAATTCAAACAAAGAGGTATATCTAAATTAGTTAAAGTTATACTTTAAGTATACTGTCCAACTTAAAATATAGCAAAGTAGAATGAGGTGTACAATGTAGCAACAATGTAGCAACAATGAAGAGATACAAATTCAACTCAGTTAAGTCGATTGTGAAAGTTAAAGTTTAGAAAAAAGTTAATTTTCCTGAGGAGATCTAGGGCTACAGTTGATTAGAATGATGTTAAAACCTGTATAGCTTTCAGTTTTTAATGTAAAAATCTCAACAATTTTTAAAAAAAAGATTCAGTGAGGACATAAAACATTAGATGTAAACTGAACAAACATCCTTACAGGAATGAAGTCATTACAATTTGACACCAAACACACACCAACAAGTATCAGAGTATCCAAATAACTTTGATAAATACATTCTAATGGTTTCTTAGAGGCCTAAAATCAGCAAATATAATTGTTTTGTGCAGTTAAAGTAACTTACCCTTCCTTGGGGAAGATTTGGCTGATCTCTACTTGATGGTGACTGATCAGTTCTGCTGTTTTGGCGTTGAACACCTACATAGGGAAAAAATATGTATTTTAGATCCAAAATAATCTCATCAAATTTGTTCAAGAGGAGGAGGTTATTATTCACACATGCAACAATGTCAGAGGCTATTTCCTTGTATGCGGCCTCTTGCTTATCACTAATGCTACCAACAATGACAGTCATCTGAACGTCTCTGGGTATGTCTTTTCTTGTGAGCAGATATCAAGAAAACATAAACAAGGAAAAGAAAAAGATAATGATACTCTTAAAAGATACTTAAAAGAATTGCTGGCAACATCAGGCAATTAAAAAAATGACGTCAGGGTAAGAGTTCAAGATGTCTATCTGCACAATGATGTGCAACAGACAAGAACACTGCAATACTGCCATAGATATATATTAGTGAAAATAAAAAAATTAAAAAACATCTTTTTTTTTTAAAGGTGTGGTTGGGAAGGTAAATTAAAATGAAATGCAGTTTTTAGGGTGAAGCTGCTAAATGCCACAAACTTACTGACATGTTCAGCAGCAGCATTACACCCACCAACAGCAGCAGTACAGCCAGCAGTGCAGGTAGCAGCAGTATTACAGCCAGCAGTACAACAAGGAGCAGTATTACAGTTTACAGTAGAGCCAGCTGCAGTATTACAGTTTGATGTACAGCAAGAAACAGTATTACAGCCAGCAGTACAACCAGGAGCAGTAATACACCTTATAGTACAACCAGGAGCAGTATTATAGCTTGATGTACAGAAGAAGCAAGAAGCAGTATTACAGCAGTAACACAACTTCATGTCAATGTTAGCAGCATCTAAGAAGCCATTGGGGGAAACGTTATGACGAGGACCAGAAAGCTGGTGGAATATCCACAGATACAGAGCAAGTAAGTGAGAGGGAACAAGAAAATGACTTGCTGACGCTCAGGTTATGTTGTCAATGTGGCTACTTTTTTTTTTCTTTCACTCCAATTTCTGTCACTCAGTGTAATGCAGAAAAAATCAAATCAAACGAAAAAAGTATAACAGTATATAAAACACATTAACTTGAAACATTTTAGCTGTACAGTGCAACAGTAATACCTATAAACTGAAGGCGACCGCCATTTAAACGTTTTTTCATTTTATTTTTTACTTTTAACGTGTGGGTAATGTTACAGTTAAAACAGAAGTTAAATTTGTAATGGTGTATTTTCAATAAAATGTGGTATTATTATTTGTGTGGTCGAATTAATTACTCTATGGCATAAATAAAGATTATTAAGTGATACAAATATTTAGAATAGCATTTCATAGATTACATGGGTTATAATCAGTTGGATACATAAAAAGGAAATCAATTTAATTATTTGTTTATTCGATTTTACTTAGGGCAAAGGATGACACCCATTCCAAATCTGCGGTAAGTACCCCATGTCAGGCAGTATGATCCGGGTCTTGTTGGGCTGATCCTTGTAAAAACCATGACCATGTCTCTGCTTACAGCCTATCTTCATTTTCGAGAAAGTCATTTGCCGAATCCTGTTGCCTAACCCTTAGTAAGTGAAGCAAGAGGCACACAAAGTGGACGTCCTATCCATGCACGACTGGACTCTGAGGGGTAAACATCTGGCAAGAGCCGGTGATGCCTCGGAGGTCTGCGGGTTTGCTTTGATGGCGCGCAATGAACCTTGGGTAATGTAGTGTAGCGGAAAATGTAATACGACGTTCAATAAGGACAGGCTGTTGCAGAATCGCACACAAACGAGTTCACCTTTAAGTCATGCATTTGCAAGTATGAAGCGTTCAATTCAGCGTCCTTATAAAAACGATAAGAATGGAACATTTTTGTCATACAATACACAATATTTTGCGCTATGACATCAGCTGATGTCACAAGACCATTTTACTGCACATACATGTTATGTTTATGTTTATGTTTATGTTTATGCATTTGGCAGACGCTTTTATCCAAAGCGACTTACAGAGTAGACACAATATTACATTTCTCATCACAATGACAATAAACTTTATAGAACAGAAACACTGATCAGAGTCAGTGGTGAGATAGAGATAGAGGTAGAGGGGCTACAGAAGGAGCTGTGGGGGGGGTAGAGGTACGGGTTAGGGTTAGGATAGGAGCTGTGGGGGGTAGAGGTACGGGTTAGGGTTAGGATAGGAGATGCTCTTTGAAGAGGTGGGTCTTCAAGAGTTTCTTGAAAACAGACAGGGACTCTGCTGTTCTTGTGGAGCTTGGTAGGTCGTTCCACCATCTTGGAACGACACATGCAAACAGTCTGGATTGTCTTAAGCGTGGTGAAGGCACTGCTAGACGACAATCCATTGATGACCGGAGTGATCGAGTTGTGACATAAGCCTTTGCAAGGGGATTCAAGTAGATGGGAGCCATACCCTTAAGCACTTTGTAGGCTAGCATCAGGGACTTGAATTTGATACGGGCAGCCAGAGGTAACCAGTGGAGTTCAATGAACAGAGGGGTGACGTGAGATTTTTTGGGCAGATTGAAGACCAGACGCGCCGCCGCGTTCTGGATCATTTGTAAAGGTTTTACTGTACAGGCCGGGAGACCAGTCAGGAGTGCGTTGCAATAGTCTAGGCGGGAGATGACCATAGACTGCACCAGGAGCTGGGTAGCATGTTGTGTTAGGTACGGCCGGATCTTTCTTATGTTTAGTAATGCGAAGCGACAGGATCGAGAAACAGAGGCAACGTGATCTTTAAAGGTCAGCTGGTCATCAATCATGACACCCAAGTTTCTTGCTGCCTTTGATGGAGTCAGAGAGAGGGATTCAGTTTGGATGTGAATATTGTGGTGAATAGTTGGTTTGGCTGGAAAGACAAGCAGTTCAGTTTTTGAGAGATTCAGCTGGAGGTGGTGGGCTTTCATCCATTTTGATATGTCAGAGAGACAGTCTGAGATGCGTGCTGAGACCGAGTGGTCATCAGGTGGGAATGACAGATAGAGCTGTGTATCATCAGCATAGCAGTGGTAGGAGAAACCATGTGATTGAATGATCTGGGCCAAGGAAGTGGTATATATAGCAAAGAGAAGAGGTCCAAGTACTGAACCTTGAGGAACCCCTGTGGCGAGGTGGTGCACTGCAGAAGTGTGACCAAGCCAGGATACTTTAAATGATCGACCAGTGAGGTACGACTCAAACCAGGAGTGTGCTCTCCCTGTGATGCCCATACTCGAGAGTATAGACAGAAGGATGTCATGATTGACTGTGTCAAATGCGGCTGATAAGTCAAGGAGGATAAGTACTGAGGACTTGGCATTTGCCCTTGCCTCTTTTAGGGCTTCTGTCACAGACAACAGAGCCGTTTCAGTGGAGTGGCCACTTTTAAACCCAGATTGATTTGTATCAAGGAGATTGTTTTGTGAGAGGTAGTCTGTGACCTGCTTAAAGACTGCCCTTTCAATGGTCTTTGACAGAAATGGAAGCAGAGAAACCGGCCGATAGTTTTCCACCTGAGTTGGTGGGAGAGAGGGTTTTTTGAGCAGCGGTGTGACCAAAGCTTGCTTGTATGAGTTAGGAAATGTGCCAGTTGTCAGCGAAGCATTGATCACATGTGTGACTGCTGCAGTAACTGTAGGAGCTATGGACTGGAGTAGGTTTGTAGGAACTGGGTCCAGCAGGCATGTAGTAGGACGGCTACATGTGAGAAGTTTGGACACATTGCTCTCAGTGAGAGGAGCAAAGGAGGAGAACAAAGCAGTAGGACTTCTGCTTGTATATGTAATATGAGAAGTTTCATGTGCAAGCCGTTCAGTAAACTGTTTGCTTATAGCTGCCACTTTGTCGGTAAAAAATGAGGCGAACGAGTCTGCCGTTAAGCTAGTAACAGGTGGCGGAGGAGGAGGGTTAAGCAGATTTTTGAAGATGGAGAATAATTTTCGAGTGTCGGTTGTACTGTGAATCTTATCAGTATAGAAAGTCTTTTTTGCATCAGTCATGCTTAAAGAGAATGCAGACAGCAGTGCCTGAAATTTTGTTAGATCATCTGGATTTTTTGATTTGTGCCATTTCCGTTCTGCAGCTCTAAGGCTGGTGCGTAGTGCTCTGAGTGTATCATTGAGCCATGGGTGGGACCCAGAGGCTCGAGCAGGTTTAGTGGATAGAGGACATAGACTATCCAGGCAGGAGCTCAATGTAGAGCAAAGGGTCTCCGTGGCCTCATTAACCTCAAATGAGGAAAATGTGCTGGAGTTTGGGAGAGCGGACGCAACATGGGAGGAGAATTGTGTAGGTGAGAGTTTGTGGAGGTTTCTGCGGAGGGAAACCATAGAGGTGGAAGCAGAGGGATTTTTGGGAAGATTTGCACTGAGTTGAATGAAATAGTGATCAGAAAGGTGCAGAGGTGTGACAGAGAGGGCCTCTATAGCACATTTTCTTGTGAAGATGAGATCAAGTGCTTTGCCAGCTTTGTGAGTTGGAGGACTGCTGACCATTTGTAGGTCAAATGAGTTCATTAGTGAGAGGAAATCAGAGGAGTTAGCGCAGCCAAGGTGGATATTCATATCACCAAGGATCATTGTGGGACAATCATATTCATGGATGGAGGAAAGTAGGATATCAAGTTCATTTAGAAAGTCGCCTAGTTGCCCTGGTGGGCGATAGATAACAGTCATGCAGATTTTGACTGGTGCAGTGACCAAGATGGCATGGTATTCGAAAGTATTGTATTTGGCATTAGGCGTTAGTTGGTTGTATTTCCATTTGTTGGAAATTAGCAAGCCTGTTCCACCACCTCTCCCAGATGTACGAGAGGTGTGGGAGAAAGTGTGGTTAATTGAAAGTGCAGCCGGGGTAGCGCTGTTTTCAGGCTTAATCCAGGTCTCAGTGAGAGCCAGGATGTCAAGTGACAGGTGTTTGGCATAAGCAGTTATGAAGTCAGCTTTGTTTACTGCCGATTGGCAGTTCCACAACCCCACAGACAAGGGTGTGTCACAGGGGGAGGTTTCATTAAGAGAGCGGAGGTTGTGAAGGTTGCGGTACCGTTTGATAATGCGGGACCTTCTGCATGAGGTAGTGACAACAGGAATGGAATTGTATTTGTGGCACATTGTGGAAGAAAGCGGAATGGCAGTGGGACAAAATTGCCTTGTTCAGTGGCCTTGCTCGGTGGACACGCACAGGTAGACACGCAGGTCTTATTCTCAAAGGTCTTACTCGAGAAGGGCTGACGCTTCCGCTGGCGCTACAGCCTTAATGCCCTCTTTTATGCTGTGCTCTATATTAGACACGGCTGTTCACTGTTAGTTTGATTGCACACAGCTGGGACAGTGAGTGTCGTTAGAGAAAGTTTTGGCAACAAGTGCTTTTCAGAGAGGGAGTGACCGCCCGTTCA